CTCTTCATTTGGAGGTCGTGACCACCCAGATCAAAACTTATCCATATCTCCGAATCTCCATGTCTTCCCAAGGCGATGCAAATGGACAGCTGTTGTGTCGTGATGGCTATGAGCTCCTGTTTCAGCTGTTGGATACTAAACCTGGAATCTTCTTCAACCAGCTTCAGGAGATAGTCATCATTGAGCTCAGCTAGTCTCCTAGATCGTGGTTCTTCGGTCCAGGCGAAGTGGCCATTTTTAAACTTCTTGTACCAACTTCTTGATGTGCTATTAGAGACAATGAATGGTCCTATCGCATCGCATATTCCCCCTGTCGCTCAATTTGGATTAATGTTCTTTTCTGAACTTATAAAGCAAAGGCAGTTTGACTCGCTTTGGGTCGAGAGCGATTCTTGCAGCCATAACCGTTGCGAAATGCTACGGCAGATAGTGTGTGGAGAGCGCATTGACCTGCACTTACACATATTCCGCAGTGAAGGTTCTAGAGCAATCCCCAAAGATTTCTTAATATGGAAACCAAAATGCGCACATACTTTTCCGACAACATAATATATGCTGATCGAATCAAACAGCTCGACAGAATCCAGAAACTTCAAGACGTACACAGGATCGAGGCCGCAGTGAGAGAAAAACATCCAACAATACACATTCCCTACAGTTCTTCCTGTACAGAGATTGAAAACCTTGGAGATTTTTTTGCACGGAAATCAACCTGTGGTAAATCCATTCAAATGTATGACATTAACAAAACAGCTTCAACCCGATATAACAGAATCGTAAGGTAGATTGGCGTTTTCCTTGAAGCTTGAAGAAGAGATGACTCAGGTGGGCCGGGCACGTCATGCGATACAGTAGTGACTGTTGGAACGGGGTGGTTACTGAATGTCTTCGAGACGTCAAACGAAACACCAGGACGACCGACAGCGCACTGGGCAGCCATGTTCACGAAAAATCTGGACGAAAGGAATGCTTTGCCCCGTGCCCTTCGAGTCGAGCGGAGACGACTTACTGGACTACTTTGGCTCGCGACAGGGCCGAATCTAGACGTTAGTGGAGGAAATCGGTGATTAACGGGACCACAGGTGATACAGGTGATGAAGAACAGGTAGGCTGTAGCCGCAGTGCTACTTGACGACGGCCATTGAAGGTGAGCAATAATCAACCGAACCTGACAGAGTATAAAAAGCAAATATGATTGAACGCCACTCATATTAATCTCACAAGAACCTCAGCCCCTATTCTCATGATTGGAAGTTAACTCATTTACTAGTAACGCATTTACAGCTAGTAATCAGTCGATTTCGATTATAATATTAAATTACCCAGAGTAGCATGATTTGATAGGTACGTTCTCCCAAGAGTAGTTCTTGACCGCGACAACTACTTAAAGGCACAGTTCACGATAATTTTGGGTAATCCAGATTATGATGAAAAATGGAAGACAAGATCGAAACTATTGCGACTGAGGTGAAGAAGCTGCGTGCATCGGTGTTTACAAAGTGAAAAAAATGATTCGAAAAACCGTTAAAAAGGGGCTGGACGAGAATGAAACCAGAAAAATGAAGAAGAGTGGGGCGTCCGGACGAGCTAAGCAGTGTGTTTCACTGCGCGCGTGTAGGCCCTGGTGCGAATAACAGACAATGGTAAGCAAAAATTCATTCACTTATAAGCATAAATAAACAAAAAACCTTAGAACAGCAAAAGTAGCTCACCTTTTTCAGCCTCTAGGAGTAGGAAATCAAATAAGGGATCGCGGCAGCAAAAAAAAANNAGCAGTGTGTTTCACTGCGCGCGTGTAGGCCCTGGTGCGAATAACAGACAATGGTAAGC